CCTTGCCATCATAAAACAGTGAAGTAAGAAGATTGAAATTTCTGCTCTGTTCCTCGATGAAAACTACACTACAACATTTTGCCACATCAGACATTCACCCCCAGCTTGTGCAAAGTGAAATTTTCTTAATCCTGTCAATTTTTTCTTATCTTCACTTTGAACATCAATTCATGCTGCAAACAATGAAAACTGATATAATTTCCAAGAATTTCCCAAGAGATGATGCAGAATCCAAATAACCTTAGGCTCCAAGTACTCTGCTTTGCTATTTATTCACTATTCACTGATCCTGAGCGACTCCACAGGGATGGCAAATGTTTGACTCTAAAATTTACTTCTTCTGTGTTAAGAAAAATCTACAAATCCATATTAAAAACTACCAAGCATTCAGTAGCTCTTCATTTCCTTTTCTTCATTTGGAAACAATTTGCATTTTCATACACCCTCCAAATATTCTGTCTCTCTCCCTTTCTCTCTACATGTAATATTATTATATTAGCTGCCTCCACACTATTTGGAAGGTGAACTATTTGGCAAGACCTCACTCCAGTACCCTGGTGCTATGTGAACACCTGGCTGACGCTCAATCATAACACACGAGGTATTATCATTAATATAGGCTCCGTAGAAAAAACAAAGATTTTATCATCTCCCTGCTAGTTCCTGTGGTCAACGTTTGTGATCCTACATGTAAGTCCACTGCCAGATGTTCTGGAGATTTCAGAAATATGTGTCATTGAAAGTCTGTTAAATCTGTTAACACTGATGGAATAAAATTTAAATGTATAGTTTTGAAGTACTTCTCAACAGTCCTATGAGAGGTAATTGCTCAACCTAAAAGCCTGGAAAAACTCCAGTGTCGGAAATGGTTTTTGGTGTTTGTTTCTTAAGAGGAAATGTTCACACTCTTTTCTTGAAGGTTTTTTCCAATAAGTTTGCAATTAAGTTAATAAGTCAAAAGCACATTGTCTAAAAGAATTTTTTTTTCATTCACTTTAGTGACGAAAAAAAAAATATCCACCTGTATTAGCTATCTTCTTGTATGATAAAATATCTTCAGTCTGATCCTTGACTTTCTTCTAGATGCAATGATTAATGCTTGAATAAGAAATCATATAAAGCCACAATTATGTAGATCCTTGTTACACTTTCATTTCCGTTACAAGCAAAATATCCCACAGAAGATTAAGTCTTTCAAAAAAAAAAAAAATGTCCCAGCCAACAATTAACAGTCAAAAAATGAAACTTAATCAGCAAACCAAAATCCATGCTCTGCGACCAACTTCAGAACAGTTAATGGTCAGTACATGTCCACAAATCTACTGTATTTGACCACTGGTCACAACACCTGTCCTTTCACTATCTGTCCCCCATCTATGTACCTGCTGCAATCTGTCAACTCTATATTCATGGTGCATTAGTATTAGTTCATCTGCAGACAACTTGTAACTAACGCCCTCTAGTGACAGATCTGCTTCATCAAGACAAGACAATCCCACCCAAAACCTTGTATACAGATTTGGGAACCTGTTTCATCAAGTATATGGCAGTCTGTTGGGCACTGGTCATTTAAAAAGTTAATGAAGTTAAGAAATGAATGGATATAATCTTACCTACTTACAAATTCTAACTATAAGCAACTACTGAATAAAAGACAAATTGTCCTTAATAAAACAGAAAATCATCTTATTAAGTAAATTTAAGATATACTAGTACTAGTACATGTAACACAGATAATTTTAATTAAAATACATAAGCAGATACAGATGAAAACCTATTTTGCAAGTGGAAGTGCTACCAGTGTCAATGACATCTTGTCCATTAAATCAGGTAGACTGCCAAAACTTTCACAACCATCTCTGCTGTTCATCTTCAATGGAATAGTACACACCCTGATTATCAAGTTCAAACTCATTTAAAGAGTACCAAAATAGACATCACATACACTTTTTAAAATGGTCTCTCTTTATCTCACCATAAACTTTAACTGTTTAATTCTGTAATTTTGCAGTATGATTTTCATATCATATTCTGGGTGATGTTTTTATGCAATAAAGAAAATGTTGATTAATCTTTCAATTTGATAGTGGTAGTGTTCCTTACAAAAATTATAAGTATTTACTTATATAAATTATTATTATGCAAGTTTAATGCTTTTATCCTTTTTTATAAAAAAAAATAATGAAATAGAAAGATTTAACAACAGGGGAAAAAACAGCATAGAAAGCAAAAAAATATTATGTCCAAAATTACACATCAAGAACAGTGCCATATAAAACCAATTTTCAAAAATCTGAAGGAAATGATCTAGATATTTAATCAAAGGGCATGTCACTGCCAGTATTAATCCTAGCTAATAAACACACCAAAAACCTTTTCATTAATCAAATCTCAAATCCCCAGACATTTGAGATAGTGTGTGTGATCACTTCAGCAACTATCGAATTGGAAAATAATTATGTCAATAATTGTCTCCAAACAGGTAATTCTTTCTCAACTCAAACACCCGTTTTTCTAGTTAAGTTGATATTGAAAAGAAGTTGGAATTCTCAGAGAAATAGCTCATGTCAGAGTACGCGCAAACACCAGTACTGGTAATAAAAAGAAGTCGGATTACAAAGAAGATTGTAATAGGAATATATAATATAATTAAATAAACTACAATGTATATCAAGATATGTTTCTGTGATTAATGTACTAAACTCGATGAAAATTGAGAAATATTCCACAAACATGGACTCAGACACTTCATTTTCCATTCAAAATGAAAACATGTCAGTCAAGAAAAGTGGAGTGGAAATGCATTAATGCATGCATTACTTTTTTATGCCTTGGATGAATATATAATTAATGTTTGGGCTTTTGCATCAAAATGTTCTGTTAATTTTTTTTTTTTTTTTTTGAAAAAAAAAAAGGTGCAGCTTTTTCCTTAATAAAAAGATAAAGTGGTGGAAAGAAAAGTGATAGGGGTCATACACTTTATTGCACATAAAAGTTCATTTTTACCTTGGAAGATTATTATTTTTTTAAAGATGAAAGGGAAAAAAAAAAAAGGTGCAGTTTTTTCCTTAATAAAAAGAAAAAGTGGTGGCAAGGTTATCTTTCCTCTCCTCACTGCATTATTGTATGAATGATGAATGGAATGTCAAAGACGTTCACTCCAACATACTTCTGAGCCAAAATGATAATATCTTCATAAATCATGTAGAACCGAGGTAGACTTAAGCATTTTCCAAGACAACAAATTAAAGGTTCCTATTCAAGGCCTGATGAAATATCGGTAACTTATTAATGAATAGGTATTTATAGTACTGTCAGTCTTGTAAGTCCCTGGGCAGCATAAGCTATTTTCTAGAAACTATGTAAATTGTTTAACTTTATTTTGGACACTGCTCTATAATTCTGGACAAGTGCTCGTGGGCCAGCTCAAGCGAAACTTTTGCTGTCAACTATATAATCTTATTTTTCTCCTCTTTGATAACTGTACAGACGTTTTTCATTATACTTCATTACATATGCATATAAATATTTTCAACCCAACATAGTTACTTGAATGTATGCCTGCATAAATGCGTTCAGAACTTGCTAAGGATTGATATCAAATACTCTACCTCTTCTATAATTATCAAATGAAACCGAAGATTAATTTAATTTAGCCATAAATTTTCAGTTGACAAAACTACAATTTTTTTTGCAATAAAACCATTGATAAAAGCTGACCACATTATTACCTTTGCTCATAAGGTTTCAAAACAAAGCAGTAACAAGCAGTTATAAACAGACAGAAAAAAGGGTGCACAGATTTGAATTTCAAACACATCATTCGTAAACGAAGGCAATAGTTTATCATGAAACATGAAATATATTTAGATTTTGTACAATGGTCTTTATTGAGAAACTGATCACCTTATTACATAAAGTTAAAGTTAAACCACTTTTTACAAACCATAATGTCCCTTTTATTGCTTTCATTTACTTGCAAATGCGGATCAGTTAACACAAATGAGAGTTAACTGTTATGAAAGAAGAAGACATACTCATTTTAATCTCATCTAAGTCAAATTAATAGGGAATTCAGAACATGTTGATCTGTGGACTAACACATCCCTGGATCAAATATGGCCGACCCACATAAAAGCAGAGCCTGACGGTCTACCCGCCTCTGCATGTGCCATGAACTGGATTAAATCACCATAATATAAAACAAGTCTCCAGTAATTCCTGTAGTGTAGGGTGTCTATCGGCTCACTTCCCAATGGAGCTATGGTTCTACGTAGATCAATCCAACTCTGTGGGGATTCTCGCTGAGTGCAATCAGATTAACAAGCCTTCTCCTGCTGTTTCTTTTCTTTTTTTTTTTTTTACTTACAAGTAGAATACAGGAAAGCTGGTGATTATACGAGTATGTTGGAAACAAGAGGAGGCATGTCATTCAGTAAAACTGATTACACTCAGCAAGAGTCCCCAAAGAGTTGGATCGTTCTATATAGACAAATGGTGTCTATGGGAATGGAATCTTTATATGCTACTCAACAAGACATCCATCTCAGTCTCCATTTAGCAAGGAGTGCTTTGGTTCTGAACTGTAAAATAATACTACACCGCCCACTCTGCTAGCCCACTCTGCTAAAACTATGTGTAGGCATGCATACAAAGACTTTGAAGTTCATGAAGAATCCAATCTTTGATGCAATCGCCCAGTCTTAGGTTTCCTAGCCCCAACTTACCCCATTGTATTGTAATAATAGTAATTAAGGTACTTACATTGATACAAAATTCCATTTAACCTGTCCCATGATGATTCTAAGATAAACGTGGCATGATATTTTTTGTTAGCACAGTTCTTTACAAGTAGGCCATTACCTCTTTCTCTACCTCTCTCTCTCTCTTGCCCATACTATACTAGACCCAAATCCATCTCGCTCTTGCTTTCTCTCACACACACACACACACACACACACACACACACACACACACACACACACTATGGGGATGCTCACCTGTACATATGTGAACACGCTGCTGTTGGCTCCAGGTGAACTGGTCAGGTTGTTGTCAAGACTGGACTGGGAACTGGCCAGAGCCTTGTGGAGGCTGGCCAAACTCTTGGACGATGACCGCCGTAAGGTCAATTTGTTCTTTAATCTCATAGTCATGTTGATGTAGTGTTTTTTTATGTCAAATCACTGTTGTAACAGCAGTAATCATACCAACAAGTATCTGAAGCTTTAGATTTCTAAAAGTACCTGCCCAATAATGCCAATACTGCTTTGTGTCACTTTCTCTATCTTAAAATCATATCATAAAAACACCGATAAAAAGAATCCTCGACTAAATAGTATCCTTTGGAGTGTGGACAGAAGTTACAAATAATTATCCTATGAGGAATACTAGTATTTTACTTTCAGACATCAAAATGGCACCATTTTTCAAAGTCCTTCACTGAAAATAAAACAAGGTAATACGTCTCCTTTTTAAAAGAGTCTGCTATATAGCAACCTTCTCTGTCGAGTGCAATCCACTATGCCCTTTATGTAGTCCTCCCTACAGTCTTGACATCCTTCCACAGAATGAATGAAAAATTCCACTACATGAATATACAGAATTTGTAAAGATTCCTCTTCATCTTTATGTGCTTAGAATAAATGCTTTCATCTCTCTCTGCGTGTAATAATTGGCGCTTAGTACAGAAAGCAGTCACGTTGAACCATAAAATTGTCTTTTTATCAAACTGCTATTGTGAAGTGTGATATGTTCCTTTCCTCTGGAAAAGTTCAGTGACGTTCATGAGCAATGTTGTTATTGATGCACTGTTGTGATACTGTTAATGCACACAATTAAACAATAGTACTGCATTCAGTAATCTTGCTTCCTCTACTTTGTACTGTTTCTGTTGCTGTCAACCTAAGGACAACACTGCTGCTGCAATAGTAACTTTCTAATACTGTCACTGTTCTCAGAGTGTGTGTAACATTCCAATAATGATGGAGCTGTTCTATAATGTTACTGTTTGTCCAATATTGCTAAAAAAAGTTCATATTTTTCTCACCTATATTTTGTTCCCTGCACTCTTTTCACTATAAACAAACACCAACCAAAACTGTAACTCCTGATGAAATTTAGATCAGCAAGCTCCATCTGAGCATATGAAATCCAATGTTTAGGTCACTTATGCCACATAAGATATCATGCACACATCAGTGATACTGTTTACATTAACAATGGCTCCTTGAGTTCTGACCAGCCTGTTTTCAATTGTTAATTCATCCCTTATAGAAATGATTGCAACTTCAAGTGTCACTTAATTCAGTCTCCCAGCGCCTTAATAAGTCTATTAGCACCCCACAGGTGTGACGCTGAGGTAATGGACACCCTTTTTATGCTGACCAATGAGGAAAGGTATATATAGAATGTCTTTGTACAGCACCTCGTCAAGTGGCCTTTAGTTCATCTTATGCAGAACTTTCCAAAGGGAAGAGAAATCTCCTGATGCTGGCAGTTTAAAGATTTAAGACTATGAATCACACGAAGCAGGTTTGACACGCTGATAGAACAAATATATAAAATGGTAATGAAACTGCCCTCGATTGTACGACCAAGGTTGGGGTAAAAAAAGTTGCCTTTTAAGTTTTTCACTGTATTTTCAGTACTTTCTCTGAGCAGCAGCTCGTGGCCTGCACCAAATTTTCACTGTCAAAACATCAATCAAAGCAAATCAGTATACTAGTATGTATCCTTGGTAACCAGACTACTAATAATTCTTCACATACTGTATTTCTCCTTGTTGTATTCTATTGACTTCTTCCTTGCATCTGTCTTTGACAGAAAATGGCAAAGAGGAAGATTAATTTCACTGTCTACAATTGTCCCAATTTGAAATTCATATTTTCCAGATTCCAGACATTTTTCAATGTTACGGTATTGGATTTCCATTAGATTAAGTGCTAGTTCATTTCAGGCTCAAATAAAGAACATGCAAAATTTGCATCTCATCAGTGAATGAAGCTCCTGGTTGTATTCTTGTAACATTGTCTTCTCCAACAATTCTAACACCTGTCCAGAAGAAAAAAAGAAAAAAAAAGACCAAAACTCCAGTTAATATGCCTCCTTCCTACAAAGAAAATACTTATTGTCACAATTCAACAAAGGGACTCCACACTCAGGCAAAATTTCCCAAGATTTCACTTAAACCTATTTCTTCCTCTTAACCCGATTTCTCCAGATTTTTTTTTTAAACTGACAGAATGACAAAGACACATGCAGAGGACCCCATATCTCAGGCAACAACAATTCAACTATTGTGCCTGCATTAATGAATTGTTCCACTTATATCAAAACTAATGTCCTGTAATCACGCATTGTGCCTCAACCCCAAACAATACCAGCATGCAAGCGAATCAATAGACGTCTTGTTAAGTGACATCTTCCCTTTACAAGTGTCACTACAGCGCTGCATGGTAATTTAGTGAAACGAAAGGTAATCCCGCCTTCTGACAAAACTGCAGGTGTAAAAAGTAATGGTGTGAAAGAGGGGACTTTTAGTATCTCAGCTCCAAATCTGAGATTCTGAGATAAGCAGGGTCAGGTAAGATATTCACCCAAGCTACACCCCAACAAAACTCTGATTAGTTTGCCACTTACATTCGGGTATTACATCTTCTGCCACTCGCAGCTAAAAAATAGAAATATTCTACTATGACACCAACTTTTTAACAAAATTGGCAACTTTGGATGATTTGCTCTTTTCCTGTATCAGAACCCTGTATCTCCTCTGATTTCATGATAAACTAGTATGCAAATCAACAACTTTTACATTATGACCTTGGGAAAAAAACAAACAGACTTTTGTTGTTTTTTTTCACCAATTTAAAAATGAGCCCGTCTTATGATATAACCTAGCACTAGACTCACTGGGAGTATGGCATGCAACTAGCATTGTTTAGACAAGGGCAACTTAAGACTGTCGATTAAGTCCACTCGTGTCACCATACAAAGCAGGCACCTATTATATAGGCTCCAAGACTTATGAAGCACTGTGACTTTCCTTGTGCAGAAGAATGGATTTCAAATAGGCACCACTGCGCCTCAGACACTAAAACTGACATGCGTTGTCGTAAATTATACCTACATGAACTTCCAATTTATCCTTGTCCTCTTGAAAACAGACTTATTTTCTCCATGAGATCTCCATGTGATCATCATGTATTTTTTTCTGTGTCTTGGTCTTTTACCTTTAAGATTTTCCTTAATTCTACATATCAAATTGTTGTACACATTGTACCTCCTGGTACTTGTGGCCACCAAGTATCATCCCTTTTTCAAAAATCCATGATGTCTTGTAATGCAACCTTTATTTCTTAATCAGAAATATCTGTCACTGCACTTGCGAGTCATGCCCTGTCATTCTTCCTATTAACATACAGCAGCCTCTATTCTTAAGGAATCTTTTGTCCGTTTTCACAAAAACATACCTTGATTTCAGAATCACTTAACTTTTAACAACTCAAGAAAATTGCAGTCTTACTGGAGAAAACTCCCTGAGAAAACAATTGTTTTGCATTCACAATGAAAATTATCATACCATCCTTAAGATTAAAAAAAAATTGTTTAATGTCCTTTGAAATGTTTGGTACCAAACAGTAACACTGATGTTGTCTCCATGTTATCGCTAATCAATCTCCCTTCATAATCATTCCACATGAAACCAAGTCTCCTTCAAATACGTTTCCCTAAAATTGTAGGACCTCCTCTGCTCTTAGCCATTTTCCATCTCTCAGACTGCCTGCGTGGTCTTAGACTTGGTGTCCTGAATAAATGTATGTCACAGTAAAATTCCAGTCAAACCAACTGAACTGGTTCTGAATGGTATTGCTCCTAATATATATATGTGTGCCAGTATGAACTCTAGACCCACATTACTTGCACAATGTACAATAAGCCTGCGTTCACACTGCACAAGCACAACTTACACTTGAATGAACTAAACAACATCATTTACAGTAAATAGCCTACTGCAAAGAGGTCGCCTGAAGCAGGTTGAATTTCAACTCAAGTACATCAGATTTACTTATAACGGCCTGGTTACTAATAATAGAAAATACATATTTCAGACTGAACCGATCTACGGCACTGGTGTTCCTGTGTGACCACGTCCAGAATGCAGAACTGGAGCGCCAGCTGTAACAGGTGTTCTTCTTGTTATTGCAGAGGTTTAGCTGCTAGACAACAGCATTGTTCTTGTTTTCTCTTTTAAATCATTCTTTTCTGTTTCCAGATTTTACATCGGTTGACTTGATTATTCTTCAATTTTCTCTTTAGCTATCCCAGTAAAACACGCAATTACTAATGCTCTCTCTCTCTTTGGCAGTTTAATCCATCCATGGCATAAAAAAAAAAAACCATGACGACTTCAAGTGATGTCACAAACTAACCAACTGTGAAACTTCTCAGCATTAAAAATTTTCAGTTCCAAAAATTACCTTCAAAACCAACAGAGAGACCCTAAAATATGTCACCAAACAAAAACTGCTGCTACTTGTCCTTGGCAGTAAAAATCGATTAATAAGCTCATGCTGGCAAATAAAATGTTTGCCAAGTGCAGAAAAAAGACCAAGTAAAAAGTGTCAATATCTACTGCACTCCTTGAATTTTTCACTGCTTTCATGTTTAAGTCAGTTTTTTATGTATATTAAAAAAAACATAGATTCAACATAAATATGACTTGAGAAAAGGTAAATTTGAGAAAAAAATTCTACTGTTTCCATGGAGTGATTTACAATGTGCATGTTTTGTAATCCTGTTCTGGTGCCCTTCAATTGTTTCAGAATCCTAATAATAAATTTAAAAACAGGCCTGTTCTTGCCTTTTCTTATACTCTGTTCACCTCAAAGTTACTCAAGTTACTAATAAAGTTTTGTCTGGACCAAGAAGAAAATCTGTCAAATTAGTGCCTGCGATTTCATTCCTACATTCTTACACCTTCTGAAGCAGATTAAATAAACTATTAAAGCCGAGGTTCATCAAGAAAAAGTCATTTGAATCTTAAACGGGCATATATCCTATATGATTACTGTGGTATTTCCCATTCCCTTTCAGTATTTCCATTAAATTGATTAAACCAATACTTTTTATGCTGGGTATGCGTGTCATTTTCCCCCCTTAGGTTATATAAACTGGAAACTGCTTCTTTGAATTCTGCCTAACTGCATGTGACACGCTGCTGTATGTCACATTAAGACTGCACTTTGATGGAGAAACATACATTTTTGTAAACAAAATAATTTCCTACATAACAGTGATCAGTAAGTCAGTTAAAAAATAGCAGAATCATTTCACGTAAATATTATCATCATTTTACTTTAAAATTTTAAATAAATAAAGTAATTAAATTAACTTTTTATTGTTTTACATTTGAAATGCGAAAGGCACACTGTATTCTTCTGTATAGCAAAATTCATACCAACAAAACCTCTCACTATCAACACATGGATATGAATAGCCCCATTCACACGTACATGGTTAATCGAGATTAAGGGAATCGTGATTCTAACGCGCTTAGCTAAATTCACTTTTTTGCGTTCGCACATGTAAAAACGAAATCGCGATTTACCTTGCTAGATCTGGTAATTGCAACTGCGCTCGCAAGGGGAGTCACGGTATATCATGTTGATCATGTGCAGTAGCTGCCTTCAAGACCATGCTTTCGGTGTGTACAGTGTTATTTTCTGTTCAATACTCTCATCTGCCCAAATATTTAGTTATGCTGCCACTGAGTTTTCGGACCAGAACTTCCTCTTGGCCATTTTGCTGACTGCGAAGAAACTTGAAATTGCGTAGACAGTTTGCTTTCTTTCACTTTCCAGCTGGCGAATAGCTGTATTTAGCTAATGTTTCGTTTCA